CAGTCAGGGGGTGGGGCCACAATGAGCTGGGGGCGGAGTGTCCCACGTGGGACCCCTCGAGGCACAGCACCCCACCCCCACCTCCGATCACTCTGCCTCAAGCCGAGGGCTTCTCCGAGGCCGCGCTGCCCGCTCCGGGGATGTGACTCCCCACGAAGCTCGGGCCATCGAAGAGGCTGGACCCCCAGCTGGGGGGCTGGTGTGAGGGGCTGGGAGCCGGGCACCCTCCCCGGGTCTGGGCCCACGGCACCTCCTTCCCCTCGCGATGTTGGGGGACGCTGGTGTCACCCCTCAGGGAATTAATTGGCGGGGACACCCCAGCTAGGCACTGTCCTCAGCCCCCCCTCCTCCTGCCGGCCCGGCGTCCCGTCCACACCCTGCGGCCCAGCTCCCCCTCCCTCAGGCCCTTCCCTTGGTCCCCACCGCCCAGCGGTGCCCCAGCCCCAGCCCCGGCATCTGCCTCCTCCATGAAGCCTTCCCTGCAGGTCAGGGCAGGTTCCTTCGCTGCTGGGATTTAATCTGTTTCCTTGAAGGCTTCTCCCCGCCCGGGGGTTGCAGGGCCTCGCTACCATGACCACACGTGGCCGGTCCCCTCAGCTACCATGGCCACACGTGGCCGGTCCCCTCAGCTATCATGACCACACGTGGCCGGTCCCTTCAGCTACCATGACCACACGCGGCCGGTCCCCTCAGCTTCCCGTGACCACACACGCCAGTCCCCTCAGCTACCATGACCACACGCGGCCGGTCCCCTCAGCTTCCCGTGACCACACACGCCAGTCCCCTCAGCTACCATGACCACACGCGGCCGGTCCCCTCAGCTTCCCGTGACCACACACGCCAGTCCCCTCAGCTACCATGACCACACGCGGCCGGTCCCCTCAGCTTCCCGTGACCACACACGCCAGTCCCCTCAGCTACCATGACCACACGCGGCCGGTCCCCTCAGCTCCATGACCACACGGGCCAGTCCCCTCAGCTACCGTGACCGGGGGAGCCTCTGACGCCCCCGCCTGCGCCACGGGGAACCCCTCCCCCGTAGTAGCACAGTCCCCTGTGTGTGAGCAGAGCCGGGTGTAGCCATTACTGATCCTTACAAACGAAGGAGACGTTTACGAAGCTGAAATGCAGCACGAGAGCTGTCAGGACCTGGCGCGCATCCGAGAGCTGCGGGCCGTGCCGGGCCACACGGGTGTCTGGGCTCAGACTCCGGGTCTGAGGGGAGCC